TTTTATTTTATTTTTTATTTTCTTCCCTAATTCCCATTCTCATGTCTTTTCCTGGCAGCCCCTTAATTTCAAAACTACAATAATTGAGAGGGAGGGGGTTTGCATTTTCCATTTCAGGGGAGGCTCCTGCCTTCCTTAGCAGACACCTGTCTTTTCAAACCAAGACATTACTGAAGGTTAACAAAGAATCTCAGGCCTTGAAACCAAGGATCCCCAGCAGGTAATCTGGAAATAAATAGTATATCCAATGGCTATCCTTTACCATTCAGTTTCTAGCAGCTTCATTTTGACAGGTCAATTCCATGAGCTGAGTTCACCACAAAGCCCTTAACCACATTCATCGATTTCACAAAGTGGTGAAATTCTGACTCCTATCCATATTTTGCGAACACAGATTTCCTGGAAGGCAAAATTTTTCTCAGCAATAAGCCTTCCCCCAGAAAACACAGCTTTTTTAATGTTTCATAAATTGTTTCATTTTGTCTGTACACTTTTTATGCCCTTATGTTAGTTTTGGGTAGGGTTTTTCTGAAACTAAGCATGGAGGCTTTGTCAACCCTGGGCCCTGCTGGTCAGAGCTTGATCTGTAAGACAGAGATATCCAAAATTCACCCAAGACTGTGGGCATCAAGCAGAGGAGTTAAAGCAAAAGCCCCTGAAGCCAGAAATACCCAACACTCTGCCTTGAGGACACACAAGTGAAATACAGATGGCATGAAAAGGAATATGGATCTATTAGAAAAGGTAGTGTAAAATAAGTTATTTTTCCCATACTACAAATCATGTGAGCTGCAGGGTCATGCCCCGGGTATAATTTTGAGAGAAGGAAAATTCTAAAATCATAATGCATTAGTGTGCTTTGGATGAAGCCATCTAGTCTGGGAGTATAAGGCTGCATGTAAGCAGCAGTCTTGAACATCTCTTTATGCCTAGATCTGTCAGATCTTCAGATAATTTTTTAAGTTAAAAAGACAGGCATTTTCATGTGAATGGAAAGAAAATGCCACTTTGATTTCCACAGAGATGAAGGCAGGAGGCAACCAAGAGCAATAGAAACATAACAGTGTACTAAACCATAAAAGCAGAGGAAATCAATGAAAACAAGGTGGAGGTGCACTGCTTAGCAGGATTTCTGACACGCTAGACAAATAAATTGCTGCACTTGCTTTGAATGCACTTCTCCTACATATGGGCATGTTGAATCCACAGAAAAGGAGGTGAAGGGGCCACAGTATATGTAAAGAAATATTTGTAGTGACTGTTTTGATCCAGATATTTAAAGAAAAAAGCATGGGAAATTTTGCCATATGCTTTAATGGCAGCAACTCTTGGCATTTAGCAAAACACAGCTTCAAGATGCACAGTGGTGGAATTGTAAGTTGTCCACTGCCTGGTACCATCTGCTTGATTAGAAACATTAAAATGGAAGGGAAAGTGATCAAAAAGTCACCTGTGGAACTGCTCGCATATTACTGCAATTCTGCACCCACGCTGATCATGGGAGATTTTAACAATACAGATTTGCACTGAATAATGCAAACAGCCTGACACTGATGAAAGTGCCTGCAAGAGAATGTTGTGATCCACAAAGTAAAAAACCCCCAAAAAACAGCATAAAACCCCTCCAACCACAGGAGAAATTGTCTTGGAAACAGTGTTTTATTTATGGACACTCCAAGACTAAGGAAAGCTGTAATGGACATGATCATAATTGATAGTTTGAATTCAGTGCAGGAGCAAGAAATTGGTTCAGAGAGTGGGAAAGCAGAAGGAGATCCAGCTGCATCAAGGAAATTCCAAGGCCTTAGAAATCTGGGAAGTAATATGGGATTAATATAGCTTAAATTTTACATTCAGAAGATGGGGAAAGGTGCCTTCTTCCCATTCTGTGTTTGCTAAACATCTGCAGGCAGATTCTGTAAATACCAGATGTTTGCTGAAGTGTCTCTTAACAGGCTGATAAGCTCATTCCAGAATGGCTGAATATGTTTTGAGGCTGTCAGTGCTCTCACACTCCACTTTACCCTGATTTTGCCTCATCTTGTGCTTTCCAGAAATGAGAAGCAGCTGGCTTAAATAACATTTATGCATGAATTGCTAAACTCAGCCATAGCTAATGAGAAAGAGAAAGAAAATAAAGAAAATAAAGAAAAGAAAGAAAGAAAGAAAAAGAAAGAAAGAAAGAAAGAAAGAAAGAAAGAAAGAAAGAAAGAAAGAAAGAAAGAAAGAAAGACTGAATATAAACAATGAATCTCATCCATGCCAGAATTCAAAAGATGGTCAAGGTGGTCCAAATATGGTTAAAATCTCATTTTAGTGTAATTTTTGTACTCAGTTTCGACCCTTTCCTGCTCAGGCCAGCTGAGACTAGCTGCACTGCTCTTTCAGAGGCTTTTGGGACTGCTCAGAAGGATTTGGGGTGGGTGTCACACAAGGCTCCCAGGATTTGGGTGCAGCACAACAGTTGTCTCACACCTGAAAAGTGCTGCACATGAGATAAAGTGGAAGGGAACTACTTAAGAGATCAGCTAAGAGGAATTGTGGTGAAATCAAATGGTGGAATTAAAAGAGAAGGAAAACTTAGGTGGTGGTGTAGGAAAAGCAGTCTGACACAAAGTACAGGAGGCTGATGAGTAACATGACAAATGCTTGTTGCAAAGCAGTGATATTTGGGCTATCACAAACTAGATTAATTATTAGAAATGCGTCCTAGAAAAGCAGCTTGTTTAATGCACTTTTGCAGGTTTTTTTTTTATTCTACATCTAGGATGTTTTACATATTCTGTGATGTGACTCAGGAATCTTTGAGCATTGTGAGGTAATTCTGAGACAGCAGTCAGTAATTTATGTAATTAGCATAACAGTATTTAATTATATGATTGCTGTAAATATGTGTAAAACTTTCGTGGTGTAATTAGAATGTGTAATAACTACTTGTAATTACGTAATTAAGTGTGATGACGTAAGCAAACTTCTAATGGGAAAAAAAAAAAAGGTATTTTCAAGCCCAGCTATAGAAAATGGTGTAGTGCAAATTACAGAGATGGTAAACTGTATATATTTGTATTTACATCAGTATGAATCCTTCAAAGTAAGACCCAGAAAGACAGAATGTGGATAACATATATTTCAATAGAACAGCAGAGTTCTTCCACTATTTCAATAAACTGGAAAATTTCAATTTTTTTGTGCATATATATACTTTCTCTTATATGCTCTCAAAAGCAGAAATGTGTGTCTGTGCTTATACATACACATACATAAAACATAATTCAGTTTAATATATGAGATATGCAACTTCACACACAAAGTTATTTTTATATATGACTACATATACATCTATTAAAAAAACCAAACGAATATAAAATAACAGATGATGGTTCAGGAAATGCAATGATCACTTAAGTAATAGCTCTGACTACCCCATTTCCAGCAAAACAGGAGATTGGATTTATGTGATCTATTATCTGAGCAGTGCTCATGATGCAGCCAAAATACAGAAGGGATAAACTCTGAAGAGATGGATGAGATTCCTGGTAGAATTCCAAATGGCAATTCAATTGCACCTAATAAGGAAATGCATGAATTGCTTCACCAGCAAATTCTGAAAAACACTTTAATAATTTGGGTTTTGGCTTTGGTTTGATTTTTTTTTGGCTTTTTTTTTTTTTGTTTTGTTTTGTTTGTTTGTTTGTTTGTTTTCTTTTTTAATAAATTCTTTCAGGCAGCCACAGAGACCTGTGACTTTCTCAAAGCAAATCTTCATCTTTCATTCCTCTCTAGAACTACATACACATAATGTTGGGTGGCTCAAATCTTCTTTTTTCCGCTGTGTATAAATCTGGGAATTCACTGAAGCCACTTCAAGTAAACATTTGTTGTTATTGGTCCATCCTGTTTTCCTCTCTATTCTCCCCCATACATCCACAATGTGAATGCAGAAAAAAGAATAATATTTTTCAGCTTTGTTATGGTTTCATTTATTTATGATTCAATCTAACACCTCTTCTCTTTTTTTTTTTTTTTTTTGCTACATAAAGTAGGATTTTCCTTGCAGTAGAAGCTCCCTTTCTTCAATGTGGATTAGACCAGTATTTCAGGTATTCTGAATGTAAAACCCAACACTATTAAAGCCAGCTGCCAAATATTTCCTGTTTCTTTTCATGGTAGTATACATTGAAACTATATTAGCTTTATCCACAATACCATAATTTTAACATCTTTTGTTTCACTAAAACACACAGGATCTCATCTTTGCAGCATCTAAAACCCAACAACCTCTAATATCTAAATGTCAAGGTATATTGCATTTTGTGCCAAAGCAGTTTATTCTATTTTTGATATTTTTCATCTTCAGGATTACCTAGTCTATCATACATGAAGAACTTTAGAAACTTTAGAACTTGATGGTGCATCCATAGTCACTGTTATTGAAAAAATCATGTGAGATTGTTCCTAGGACAGATCCATTAATGATTGCTAATTCTGTTAATGACTTCCCTGCAAAGCAGTGGTCCAAATTTCAGAGGCTGGAGACATGTCAGAGCAAATAACAGATATTTTTACCCTGTTCCTACACTTCTTGATTTCTGCCAATAACGTTGCTGAAGGCAGGATATTTGATGAGATGAAACCCCAGCCTCAATATATTTTTTGTATTTTTCTACATTACACTATTTTACTTCTAGTTTAACTATAGATACTTATTATACATTTTGCAAATGTTTCCATCATATCACAAGCTTTACTTGAATGTGTGACAGATTTGGTCTCTGAAATTCCCTCCGTTTTGAAGGGAATAAGATGGCTATTCTGAGGTTTCTTTATGTGTAAAGAAGTATTTCCACAGTACATTAAAATGTTTTGGTTTTAGTGTTTTTTTTTTTCTGTAAAAATAAAATCGTATATTTTATATAATTAAAATAAATTAAAATATTATATTATTAAAAATATATTTTATATTATTTAAAAAAATTGTTTTAAAGCCATGCTGTACTTACTCTGTTGGCAGTTCCTTCCCATAAATTCACCTGGACATTCACAGGAGTAGTTGGCAACAAGATCTGTACAGATTCCACCATTCCTGCAGGGTTCAGCTTCACATTCATTCACATCTGCAGGAATCACACAAAAGGATGCCAGGATTAGCAGAGAAATGGTAAAAGCAATAAGCACATGTTGAAAAGAACTGAAAAGAAAAAAGAAAAAAAAAAGAGAGAGAAGTTTTATTATGTCCCGAAGTACAATATAATTAAAAGTTTTGTTCAATGACTTCCACTGTAACTTCCAGATGATATCAGGGCCAAAAGTTTGGCCTGAAAAAACAACCCAAAAAAAACCAAATTTGGGTAGTTCTAATTGAGTAATTAGTAGAGATTCTTGCAACTTCAAGGAATGTAGCTACTTCTTTATCAACAGATGCCAGTTAAGGACGTGTCTCAGTTATCTCAAATTCATTAAACAGCTAATTGACAAGGCTGTTTAACCATCTAAAAAATTCCCTTTCTGTGAATGAGTTACTGGGCAAATTGAAACTAATAACTCAATCTAGAAGCCAGCAAATGTCATTAAATTCAAAAGACAGAAAAGGTGGGTGATCTCACTTGAGTTCCTCTTTTTCACTGCACTTTGTCAAACTCTGCAAGAATAAAACTCCCCTGTGTTTTTCAGTGTAGCACCTTAAGTGTAATATCAGATTTCTTTTCTCAAATGTGAGACAGAATTTTTCAGTCAACATTAAATAGGCAGGGGGATTATATTGATGCATCATAATTAAGTTTCTCAGTCACCACGTTTATATTTATTCTGCATGGACTAGAAATTCTGTATAGATTTTATGTGTAATTTAAAAAGGACTGCTCCTCTGAACTTAAATAATTTAAAAAGGGTAGAGGATATAGTAAATCTGATAGATGACATGGTTGATAATATGGGAAATTACTAGGGATTGAAGTCATGCTCCTTTCTGTTGTGTTAAATATGCTTCTGTCCCCAAAATACTTTTTTTTTTTTTCTGCTGACATACACAAACTTAAGAAAATGTTACAAAAATGTCTGAAACTTGTGCAACATGGCTTTGCTCAAGAGAAGCAGAATTCAATTTTATCAGCAAAGTTTCTCAATATTTGGTACTTTGAGTATGTGACTGCTGTACTTTCAACTTGATTTTTTTTTCTTTCATTTTCCAGGAATCTGTATTCAAAAAATTATGAACAGTGAATAGGATAATCCCAATGCTGTGAACAGAAATGCAGAGACAGGTCTTCAGTGAAACAGGAAGGCTACTTTCACTTGTTTGAACCAGAAAGTTTTCATGATTTTTATGCTAAAATTAATGATGGCCATGGATCCCTGGACTTCTTTTTAACCCCTCATGCTTTACTATTTCATGCTTATAAAGATATTACATAGTGGCATAGTAAAACTTTAGAGTTAGCTGAATTTTTTCTATTAAAGATGAACAAGAGGAGTAACAACTTAGAGTTCAAGAAATAAAACCTGCCAAGTGAAATGACCAAAGATCAGACCTGCTCAGTTCTAAATTAAATTCTTTATGTGTATTTATAAAATTTAACAAGGTTCTTCAGCTCCCTATTTGCCTTTTTAAGCAAAGCCCATTAACCTTACATTTTTATCAGGTTATTCATCATTTTAATACAGGCTAACACATTTGTGGGGGGAAAAAAAAATCAAGGTCACTGTGAACTAAAAAAAACATTAAGTGAACATATGAACTATCTCCTACTATGCAGGTGGTAATTTATCCTCTTAAAAGCTTTTCTGTGTAAAGACAATATCTTCTCAAGATTTTTTTTCCCTAATTTGCCATTCCTGTTGAAATAGAAGGAGAACATACACAGCTTTCCAGAATATTTCATATTGTCTGTGTGGTGATGGAGAAAAATAAACTGAGCTTGGAGCACCACATCTTTTTAAAACAATCCTCATATTCCATCCCCATGGAGGAATCAGCAATGATCAGAGCAGAAAGATGGAAGTTGTTACTTATTATCTGTGTTACTTGGCTTCTACAATGATTTTTTCCAGTAATTTCAGAAGCTTGAGTCCCATCAGTTAAAAAAAAAAATGTCATATTTGATGAATGAATGAGGAAAAGTTGGTCATTGCATCTTGTGTGATGTGTTTAGTTGAAAAGAAAATCAACTAAGACGCGTTAAAAAATAAAAAACATTATTGAACATGGGTTAAATAATAATTTCTATGGAATTACATATTTTCACGTTATTATTTATTTGACTGAACATGCAGATGAAGACTATTTGATTAAGGGTGGTTCCTATGAATTGTGGTGAGCTTATGTTCGAATTCCCAGATGTGCCAATTCTGACACCACACTTTACACCAGCTGGTGTGTTCCTTTCTTCTGAAAAACATAAACTTTGTTATTTTATCATGACAAGAAGTAAATTTCACTTGAAATTTTAAAATACCAGAGTTTCTTGAGAAGTTGCTCCTACAAGTAATAAAGACTCATACAGAAAACTCTCTGTTATCAGATTCTAATTCTTCACCAACCACATAACCTACCTACATAAGAAGGATAAAGGTTTTCTTTTGATGTAAATTAATAATGCACAGTAAAATCACTGCAGGATGCTCATGATTTTTCAGGTAAGGTTAGGTCTTAGCTTCAAGGCAGATCCTTTTGCTTTGCACTGAATAAAATACAGAGACCTCAGTGCTGCCAGAGAAATCTGAGTTCCTCACAGAGGGAGGTGGCAGAACTGATAAACACTGAGTGAAATGGACTCATCAAAAGGCAGAGGGAAAGTCTGGAACTCTAGATAGTGTCCAGTTAGATTAAAAAAAAACCAAAACCAACAAACAAACCAACAACAATAAAGAAAATGAAAGAATACCGAGAGGAACTGCAATATCCAACAAACGAAAGAAAGTAAAAAAGAACAAAAATACCCCCAACCCAAACCAAACAAAAAACCCAAACAAAACCACCCCAAAACCCCCAAACTCAAAAAAACCCGAATGCCCAACCTCTGATGATTTCTCTGCTGAAGAGGGATTCTGAAATTCAGGGTGATGCAGGCAGAGGGAAACTGAAATTTTCTGAAAACAGATTGTTCCTTGAAAGAAATATCTTGAAAGGCTGAGAGCATTGAATAGGAAGTCAAGACTATGCTAAGGTTTCTTTTTATGCTGCAGATGGTTAAATTTAAATTTCCTATCTCCTAGTATCAATCCATAATCACAAAGTTATTAAGCAGACTTCTGTTTGAAGCACAGTTGTGGTGCACCCTGAAACAAAACTTCACTGTAGAAACTAGGAAAGTAATAGAGAACTTGGCTATGTCACATTGCGACTTGGAAAACCATCAAGGGGCAGATTTTTGTGCTTTTGTCTTCCTTTGATGGATTTTATGTATATACATATACTTATTTAATCCTTTAAGCATTTAATAAAACATGAATAAAAAGTACTACTTGGAAATGTAATGTAATTAAAAATGCCTAGCCCTCATTTTGGGTTTTACCTGTTAAATATAGTCACACATATTTTCCTGGAAAATCACCCCCCATGAAATGGGTATTTAAACTATGCAGCTGTCATAATAGAAAAAAAATTAACTCTTAAATAAAGCCATTTGATTCCTTCAGCAAGCTGCTTGGTAGAAAACTGACTTCTTTCTGAAGAAGGGACCAATAAGTTCAATTTAACTGCATTTTTTTTTTTTGGCCAACACATCTTGTGCTTTGCCTCTGAGTTCACACCAGTGTCTTGTTCCTGTCCCCTGCCTGTTTGTTCTTTTCACAGCCCAAATTCCTGGTTCCTGCCACCTGAGCCCTTGTTTCTGGTCCAGGACTGCCTTTTGCCATGCAGGCTTCCTGAAGCTCTCTCCTGCTGACCAGAACATTCCTTCCTTATCCTTTCATTTTGTTCTCATTGTGGCTTCTGGATCACACTCAGGCTGCTCATCTCAACTCTAAGTCATGTTTTAAAATCAGTCCTCTGTGGTGATAAAGTGGTTGGCCCATCACAGAAACAGCATTTACGTTCAAGGATCTTCATGGGAAGCCAACATGTCCTTTATTAGGAGAATTCATCTCAAGAAATCCAGTTATCCTCTACTAATATTGCAAATATTTTTCTTCCCCATAATAAAGTCAATTTAGGATACAATTTAATACAATTTAGGAACAAAAAAATTCATCTAGCTATATCTGTTTCATTATTGGCACAGCCATACACTGGATAAAGATCAACTCCCAATGTGAGTAACTTCACACTCCCTCCTGAGCCCCAGGTTTCAATATTTTTAAAGTAAACCCAAAATATTTCCCTACACATTTGTACTTCAATATAAAACTGATATATAGCTGACAATGTGTTCAGGTATCTTTACTTTTGGAAGCTGGCATGGCATAATGTGGACAAAAAGATAATATGGAACAATTATCTATAAATTTTAATATCTTTAATTATCTTTGGAGTTTAAGCTAAGCTATTCTTGTAGTTGCTTGATGGTTCTTTACAGATTTTTAAAATGCATTCTAGGTATCTTTTCTTTATTGTATTTTGATCCTGAGTGATTAAATTACACAAGCCAATACCACATCAGTAAGTTCACACAAAATGTATAATCTTGCTTGCAAAATTTTGTAGTATCTTGTTATTGTTTAAGCTTGATCTTTCAGATGGTCAAACTTTTTATTATGGATTTCCTACTATCATGAAACTCAGTTTACACACTCTTTTTTTTTGTTTGCAGCAAGCTGCTCAAGCGCCAAATATTTTTAATACTAAATGGCAAAGCACCATTGAAAAGAATGAAATTATATTGGTTTCATTTGGCATATAATCTGGCTCATGAGAAACTGAAATTTAATAAAATTATCTTAACAGAGAGCTACTCAGTGATATGATAAAATTTGAAGGACTACAGCTATTCATATATAGAAAGACACATCTTCTTTAAGAGTAGAACATTTTTGTTAAAAAGTTTACCAAAAACCCCCAAATCAAAGTATTCTTCCTCATATTCATACCTTTTATAAAAACAAGCCTAAAAGATCTGTAAAGACCTCCTAAATTAGGTTGACTTGCTTATTTCTCTAGAAAGAGAATAAATAA